CTCCCCCCGTTCATGCTCTGTCTCTCTCTGTCCCAAAAATAAATAAACGTTGAAAAAAAAAATTAAAAAAAAAAAAAAAACGTTTTGGGGTAGGGCGCCTGGGTGGCTCATTGGATTAGACATGCAACTTAGGCTCAGGTCATCATCTCACAGTTCATGAGTTTGAGCCCCATGTCCGGCTCTATGCTGACAGCTCAGAGACAGGAGCCTGCTTCAGGTTCTGTGTCTCTGTGTCTCCCTCTCTCTCTGCTCCTCCCCTGCTCATGCTCTGTGTCAAAATTAAATAAACATTAAAAAAATTTTTAATAAAAAAATATTTTGGGGTGCCTGGATGGCCCAGTTGGTTAAGCACCCAACTCGGTTTTGGCTCAGGTCATGATCTCACAATGATGAGATTAAGCCCCACATTGGGCTCTCCACTGACAACACAGAGCCTGCTTGGGGTTTTCTCTCTCCCTCTCTCTCTGCATCTCTCTCTCTCAAAATAAATAAATAAACTTTGAAAAATTTAAAAAAAAAAAAAAACTACCTTAAGTAGCTATTACATTCATACCTTAAAAACCAAAATATAGGGTGCCTGGGTGGCTCAATTGGTTAAGCATCTGACTTTGGCTCAGGCCACGACCTCATAGTTCATGAGTTCGAGCCCTACATCGGGCTTTGCACTGACAGTGCAGAGCCTGCTTGGAATTCTCTCTCCCTCTCTCTCTGCCCCTATCCTGCTTGCTCGCTCGCTCTCTGTCTCTCAAAACAAATAAATTTTATTAAAAATAGATATATAGAGATCTATATACTGAGCAATATAGAGAGAAGGGCTATACCTCTTAGTCCCCCCATTGACTCAGTTTCCACCCCACCCCCATTCATATTAGTTTATTCCAACAATCCTTACAAAGTTTTTTAAGCACATGCAAATGAATATGAATATACATTTTTATTCTGATTCCTTAGTTACGTGAAAGGTAACGGGCTATCTGCTAGTCTGCACTTGGCTTCTCCTCCTTAAGAAGACGGCTGGGGAACGTCGCCATATGAATCGGTTTTTGTTGCCTTTGCCAACTGGGGGTCCATGGGGAAATCGGGCCTTCCAGAAAATGACTTGTGTGACCCATCTCAGTCCCACCAAGGATGGAGTGTAGCCTGCGCCCACCGGGAGCACGGAAAAAGTTATTTCCTTACAGAGGATGGATATATGGAAACATTAGGGCTTGATTCACCTGTAAAATTCCAATCCAGAAGGGCTGGCCTGTAGCCTTTTTTTGCGAAGGGCCTCACGTGTTTAAGTCATCCTAGGTATCTGCGATTGCCAACAGTGCAGCAGAGTAAAACCTTGCACACGCCTCATTTCGCTTGTGTGCGAATTTATCACGAAAGTGGAAATGGTGGCTCAGAGGGCACGTGCCTTGGTAACCTGAGACATAGCCCAGGTTTCTCTATTAGGTCTTTCTACTATGTTCCATATCCAGTGCACGATAATAATAATAATAATAATCTCACTGGCAGGGGGCGTTATCAGATCCTTCGGCTTTTGCGGCATGCAGCAGAACTGTAGTTTTTTTACCTGGCGTTTCTTTTGGTCGGAAGACATTTGCCTGCTAGAAAGATCCCTGGCTGCTGGGTGGAGAAAGGAATTGAGATTGAGTGTAGAAGAGGCCGGTGAGGGGTGATGGTGCCCGTGCCAGTAGGCGGGCCGGGGCACGGAGAGAAGTGGACACACGGCGGGGCTGGCCCAGGGGCCACCGGACTAGGGGGTGGGGAAGGTTGTGACTCCAGCGGCTGAGCAGATGGTGGGACCAGGGCACGCGGCTTCTGTGCTCGGGGCGTGGGGCACACAGAGGGATCTCTGCAGCCGGGCAGGCGCGTGTTGGCCGGCTGGGTAGGCTGTGGCCACCGGTGGGAGGAGGGAAGGGGGCCCGGAGGTCAGCCTGTGGCTCCCCTTCCTCCATCCGCAGGCAGAAGCTGCATGAGGCAGATCTGGAGCTGCAGCGGAAGCGAGAGTATATTGAGGAGCTGGAGCCCCCCGCTGACAGCAGCAGTGAGTGGGCCTCAGCGGCTGCGTGGGTGGGGGGGGGGTGCCAAGCTCGGCCGGGAGCTGAGGGGTCACCTCGCCCCCCCCCCCCCCCAGCAGCCCGGCGTATCGAGGAGCTGCAGCACAGCCTGCAGAAGAAGGACGCGGACCTGCGGGCCATGGAGGAGCGGTACCGCCGCTACGTGGACAAGGCGCGCACGGTGAGGACACTGGGTGCTCCGTGGGCCTCCTGCCGAGGCTGTCGTGCCTCCCGCCAGCGTGCACCCCTGTGCCCTCCACTTCCGCCCTTGTCACACCCCATCGTATCACAGACTCCTGCACCACCGCCATGAGCCGTCACCCTGAACACGGCCCAACACATCCAGGGGCCTGAAAGGCCAAGGTCACCCTGGCTGTGTCTTCCCCGACCCCTAGGTCATACAGACCCTGGAACCCAAACAGCGGCCACCCGGAGGGGCACCCCCAGAACTTCACACCCTGAGGACGCAGCTCCGGGAGCGGGACGTCCGCATCCGACACCTGGAGGTGGGTGTCCTCATCCCTTCTCGCTGTCGCTGCCCACCCCGCCCGCCCCCCACCCCCACCCCAGCATATCCGGGCCCTTGACTCTTGCCTGTTTGGCAGATGGACTTTGAGAAGAGTCGAAGCCAGCGGGAGCAGGAAGAAAAGCTGCTCATCAGTGCCTGGTACAATATGGTGAGTGCCCGTCCCCACGGCCGGAGTACTAGGGTGTGCCGTGGGCTCACTCGACCCCAACCGTGCCCCCTTCCTCCCTCCAGGGCATGGCTCTGCAGCAGCGAGCTGGGGAGGAGCGGGCACCTGCCCATGCCCAGTCATTTCTGGCACAGCAGCGGCTGGCCACCAACACTCGCCGTGGCCCGCTGGGACGTCTAGCATCCCTGAACATGCGTTCCACTGACAAACACTGACGGACCTCAGGATCCTGCCCCTGCCCAGCCAGTCAGGGCTCAGCGCCCCCCCTGGGTCCCCTCACCTCACACGAGGCCCAGCATCGGGAAGGCCTCAGTCAGCTGCTTGAGAGTCTGGAGGTCATGATTTCTGCCCTTTGTTCCCGCAGCCGGGGCAAGAGTGCAGGATAGGGCAGGAGGCAGGGATAGGCCTGTTCTTTTTAGCAATGTGATTCTTATGCTTAATTTTCAACCTGGGGTTAATGAGATGCCAGGGGAGAGAGTGATTTTATATTTGAGAAGACAAATAATAAACATTTTCAATCCGCCCTGGCCGGACTCTGGGCACTGAGGGGAGGTAGAGAAGATGGGCCAGGGACTCAAATCATTGCTTTTAGAAAGGCCTGGCTTGTGTTCTTCCTAAAGCACGCGTGACGGATAGTACACACGGGGAGGTGAGAGTCATGTTTGTGTCTGTGTAACTGCAGGTGTGGTAGTTTTCCAGGAAGCTTCGGACAAAAGTCCCTGCCTTATGAAGCTGTCATTTCTAATGAAGGGAGACAGACAATAAACAAAATAGATGAAGGGAAAGTTCGATGTGAGGAGTGCCGCAGAGAAAAATACAGCAGACAGAAGTGACGGGATGGAGGATGTGGATTTGGGAGGTGGTGGTTTTAAGTAGAAGTCCCACAGAAGAGGCCTTACCAAGGAAGTGAGATAATTTAAGTAGCGACCTAAAGGAGGTGAGAGAGGGGCCGTGTAGGTATCTGGGAAAGAATGACCCAGGTAGAGGGAACAACACATGCATGAGGCTCTGAGATGAGGCCTTGCTTGGTGAGAAGGCCAGTGTGGAGTGAATGAGGGAAAGGGAAAAGATGTGAGGGCAGGGAGGACTTTAGCTTTTATTCTAAGGGAGATGGGAGCCATGGAGGAGTCTAAGGGAAGGAGGGACATTACGTGACTCAGGTGTTCACAGGGTCTCGGGCTGCTGTGGAAGAAACAGCCTGGGGGGTGGGGGTTAGGGCCAGAGCTGGGAGACCAGGGCAGAGAGATCAGTGGTCCAGGTGGGTAGGTGGGTGACACTGGGGGCTCTGGCTAAGGAGGGGGTCCTAGAAGAATGGGAAATGGTTGGATTGTGGATACAGTTGGAAGGCCGAGCTGATAGGATTTGCTGCTGGGTTGACGGGTGGGGGGAGTAAGAGAAAGAGTTGAAGAGGGCTCTTTTTTAATGTTTATTTTTGAAAGAGAGAGCATGAGTGGGGAAGGGGCAGAGAGAGAGAGAGAGGGGAACACAGGATCAGAAGTGGGTTCCACACTGACGGCAGAGAGCCCAATACCGGGCTCAAACTCTCGAACCATGAGATCCTGGTCTAAGCCGAAGTTGGACACTCAACCGATAGAGCCACCCAGGTGCCCCATGACTGGAGTTCTAAATTCAGGGGTCATCAGCATAGGACTGAATTAAGACCTGGGCTCTGAAGGGATATCTAAGAATGCAGGGACTTGGGGCAGAGGTGGCCTGGGGAATCATAAAACAGGAGTGGCAAGAAGGCTGTGGTCTTAGGACTGCCTGGTACATTAATGAATGAGTAAAGGCATGGACACTGATGGGAGCATTTCGAGGGCAGGGGGTGATCAAAGAATCTGGAAGAATTCTCAACTCTCATTTAGCCTAATACCTGGCAGGAAAAGTCAGGCTAATAATGTTCGGTCAAAACCACTAACATTTTATTGAGCACCTATTATGCACCAACACTTTGAAGCCATCATTTCATTTCATCCCCATAACTCAATGAGGTAGGCACTCACATCTCCATTTTAAGGAAAGAATAAAGGCAGGGCAGGCTGATCGAGGCCTCTCAGGCAGGGGAGGGAGGGAAGCAGAACTGGGGGGAAGGATGAACTGTTCAAATAAGCTGGCCCAGTGCCTGGCCCACACGAGGCATTCCAAAACCTAGGGTCAGAGGTGAAGACTGGCGCACAGGAAGCGGGAACCCGTCAAAGTCGGATAGGTGGAGTCCACATGTGGCTTACCCAGACCCAGACTGCTGCCTGCGTGCCCTGTCGGGGTTCGTGTCCCTGTCCTTGGGGATCCAGTGCCTGCGGATCTCAGGCTAGACTCTCCTCCTCCTCGCCAATGGGGCTGGGCAGCCAGGGTGGAGCCGGTCCCCGGGGCGCCGGCATAGGCACAGTGGTGAAGGGCTCGGCGGGCCCGGGGATGGGCAGTTCCGGGCCAGGGGGGACCTCCGACTCCGGCTCCCGCAAGCCGGTGTCGAGCAGCGGGTCCCCGCAACCGCATTCCGGGGCCGCGCCGTCGGGGGCGCCTGCGCACGCGCAGCTGGCGGCCGTGGACGTTTCCGACACGCAGCTGTTCTTGCGGCGCAGCAAGGACAGGCGCCGGCCCAGCAGGCCTCCTGCGGCCATGCCCGCACCTACCGGCAGGAGGCGCTGCAAAAAGTCACCATGCGCCTCGCCCAGCGGCGCGTCCACGCCGTCCAGCCTTTGGAACTGCATGTCCTCTTTGGCCAGCCTGTCGAACAGTGGATCAGCGTTGCCACCTCGCTCCTCTCCTGCACTGACAAAGCTGAGACGCGGGCACGCTGCTCTTCCTGCCTCCACCCACCCCTATCGTCGCACTTATCCCCAAAAGACCTCGGCCCTGTACCAGAGCGCCTGGTTTTAGCCTCTGGCTTTGGCTAAGCTCGAATTTAGGTCTTAAAGCCTCAGTTGTGACTGCCGCGTCTCTGGCCCAGCCTCTGGCCGCCAGTCCCGTCCTCATAGACCTTAGCCCTTAGCTCGGCCCCCAATTAGTGGCGGGGTCCCAGACCTTGACCCAATTCCCTGCCTCCTGCCCCCATCCTAGTCCTCACAGACTTTAGGTCTTAGCCCCGAATCTCCAAACTTAGCCTTTAGCCCTGTCCTGGCATCCCAGAGCCCCTTCGATCAGATCCTCCCCGCAGAGCCATAGGCCCCGCCTCCAAGAGGCCCCCCACCCGTCCAGCTGGCTCACGTGATATCAAAGGTGGAGCCCTGGAAGGAGGGCTGTTGCAGCAGGAACGCGGTGGCTGCAGTATAGGGGGCTCGAGCCTCGGCTGCGTCCCAGTACAAATCCTTCTCCAGCATGGCCAGGTCGTCGTACATCTCGTCCACGGCCAGCATTGACACCTGTGGGCGCCGACATGCGGGGGCAAAGCGCGGGCACCTCCGGGTGGACCCCTCTCCCCGCCCCCAGGATGCGTTAGGACTGTGGTGACCAAAGAAAGAATGCCGGTTCAGGATCCGGGCCGGGGTAAATCTTGGCGAGGGTGGGGCCAAGGTTCCTGTGGGAACTCGGGATGGACGCAACCGAGTCTTACCTGGAAGTTGCGGTCGATCAGAAAGTTGGTCTCAAAGTCATCGTCGTCCTCACCGAAAGGATTGATGAGCTGCTCGGCTACCTGAAGGGGGAGGGGGTAGCTAGGCAGAGTCCTGAGAACCCTGCCTGTCCCACCCTGGGAGTCCCTCCCTCAGGGCCACCCCACCCCACCCCACCTTGAGCCAGCCGGCATAGAAGAAGAACTGTAGCAGGGTGAAGATGGGGACGCACAGGTCCAGGTTGTGACCCTGGTAGCCCTGAGCCGGGTCCAGGAACTGGCGACCGATGAGGCAGGCCAGGAAGTAGCTGTACACAGCGATGGTCACCACCTGGGGGCGGGGCGGGTTACCAGGTCAGGGTTCTCCCAGTCTCAGGAGGGCTTGGAGAGACCAGGACTAGGGTGGGACATCACTGACACGGGGTCTTAGCTGGTCCTGTTTCGCCATGAGACCAGTGGGTCAGGGCCTCTGATGCCAGATTTAAACGGAGGCACGGTGGGGTTACCTGGGTATAGACAAGGGGTACGCTGATCCAGTCGTAGTGAAAGAGCATCCCACACTTGCCCCGAAACACAGTCAGCTCCTGGGTGCAGATACAAGTCGTGAGAGGGCCTGAATTGTGAGCTCACACTTGGGGATCAGGTGTGGGTACTCGGGATGGAGGTGAGTGATTACCTGGTGGCATGTGGGTGGGGGCTTCAGGTCTCCAGGGGGAACATTTAAATTTTTAGCTTTTTTGTGAGGCTTTTTTTCTTTCTTGAAGTTTATTTATTTTGAGAGGCGGAGAGTGCAAGCAGGGGAGGGGCGGGGGGAGAGAGAGAATGCCAAGCAGGCTCCACGCTCTCAGCACAGAGCCCGACGTGGGGCTCAGACTCACAAACTGAGATCGTGACCTGAGCGGAAATCACGAGTCCACGATTAACCCACTGTGCCACCCAGGCGTCCCTCCAGGGACAGACATTTAGTGGTGAGGGTACATCTGGGGTAGGGGGCACTATGTGCCTAGGATTCGGCCCCCTAGAGATAAGTGTGCACCTGGGGGCTGCTTGGTAAGGGTATTGGGAATCTGCCTCACGGGTGGTGCGTGGCAGGTCGGCATCTGACACAATTCCAGGGAGGTACAATTTCCCTGGAAGTTTCTATGAGTGACCTCCCGGCCCGCCCACCTCCAGCAGCAGTTTAAGGGCGCTGTTGTCGCGGATGCGGCCCTCGCGCCGGGCCTGCGCAGCCAGGTTGGAGAACCAGACGCAGGGCACCCAGTACTTGTTGTAGGACGAGTTCAAGTTCTCGAACTTCTTGCGCTCCTCGCGGGTCATAAACCCTGAAGCGGGGGGGGGGGGGGGGGGAAGTCCGGGGTTACTCGCCCCGCCTCCCGTCCTGGCCCCGCCCCCGGCCCGCCCCGCCCCCGCTTCGGGCAGGAGCCTCACCCGCCTCCACCACGTGGTCTATGGTGGGGAAGCGCTTGAAGACCGCGGTGCTGACCGAGCGCAGGATAAGCACGGCTGAGAGCCCGGCGTAGCGCATGAGCGTGCGCCGGTAGAGGCGGCCTCGCTCGTCGCGGCCGTGCACTGTGCCTGCCACCACGCACATGAGCGCGTCGGGCAGCGGCATGCATAGGTACTGGTTCCACCAGCGGTGCACCACCAGCGTCACATAGAAACCTGCGGGACAGCCGGGAATGGGGGGGCTCAGTGGGGATACTCGAGCCGGGTCGTGGGAAGAGGGATGATAGTGGGTCTGCATCAGAGACACCAGGAAGGCTCATCACCAGACCTTGAGGGGCCACCTGGGTTGGGAACTCGGGGGTCAAGCCCTGAGTTTAGAGGGTCTGGAGCAGGCTGGGTCCTCCCGGCCACTTGATTGTCACCTGGGACATGGGATTGGGATCTCAGTATTGAGGTGGGGACACATGCCTCTGTCAGGGGCACATAGGTCGTCGCTCTGGCCACAGGGAGCCACTTGGTTGGGAGCATGGGGACCTGAAAACGGGAGGCTGGGACCACGTTAAGTTACTGACTTGTCAGAGGAATGTCCTCCAGGCTGGAGTTGAGAGGATGGAGTCATATGGGGTCACTGTGTGTGTGTGTGTGTGGGGGGTCCCTAGGGCCCAGGACATGTAGGGAGCCACTAGTAGTCTCATGCAGACACAGGTGGGAGACCCTGAGATGACCAGGGATAAGCCTATGGGTGACACGGAACTCTAATGGCTTACTGTGACCAGGTGACATCCAAGGTCTCTGGAATTGGGGCCACACCTGGCATGAAAGATGCAGAAATGGGGAGGTTTGAAGGGTTAGAGGGGGGCCCCAGAGGAATAGGAAGGGGGGGGTCTCCCAAAGGCTTGGGAATGGGTTTCTCAGTATTAGGGGAATGGGGAACTCAGGAGCGAACGCACCCAGCACGAAAGAGACCGGGATGAGACTGGCATACTGGTCACAGTAAATGACGAGCTTCTCGAAGTAGCGCTTCTGCTCTTCAGTCAGCACGAAGCTGCGAGGGAGGGGGGCACGGGGTCACAGGCGAGCCTCCCTCCGGGGACCACCCAAGGCCCCTCCCTAGTCCCCTCTGGCTGGCACTCCCCCACCCCCACCCCAGGACCACCTCACCGATAGGCGGCACTCAGCGCCATGTAGAGCCCGAGGAAACAGAGCAGCTCGCGCCACAGAAGTTTGTAGATGCTCCCGCGCCACAGCAGCAACAACTTCGAGAAGCCGCCGAAGCGCGCGTTCGCCACGCGGGCTGTGTACGTGACGGTCATTGCGGCGCCAGGCCGGTCGCGCGGGAGGAGGGGGGGGCCGGACCCGACCCCAGGCTGTGGGCGGAGGAACGGGGGCCCCAGGAGGGGGCCGGGGGGCTGCGGGCAGGGGCAGAGAGGTGCCGGCTGGCTCAGTTTGGCGTCCCCTCTTACAGGCACCCCAGCCTCCTGTTCCTCCCTCAAGGGTTACGTCCCTTGTCCAGGTTTCTGGGCTCTTCCCAGGCCTGCTCAGACCTGCCCTAGCCCTCAGTCATCCCCAAGCCCCTTCTCGCAGACTCTCTTCCCGGGACCACTGGTCCCAGAGCCTTGCGTCTACTCCTCAGGGGCCCTCTCCCTCCATCCTCCACCCCCAAGACCCTTGGGTCCACCGCGCAGCCTCAGCAACCCTCTGTGCGATCCCGTATCCCTTACCTGAGCTCCGTCTACAGCCTTCCCCACTCCGAGCCTCCGGCACCTCGGTTTCTAGAGTCTTAGGACTCCAGCTCTTCAGTAGCCTGGACCTCCTCCCTCAGGTCCCACCTCTGCCGCCTCTCCACGCTTCTACAGCCCCCGGTCTCAGCCCATCTTCCACACTCGCACTCCCTTTTGAAGCCCTTGGAAGCCCGATCCTCCAGCCTCCAGCAGGACCCCAGGTCCTGTCCCCCTGGGCCCTCTGCCTCAGGCTGGTCTCTCCCCTGCACAGCTCCCCCAGCCTATCCACTCCCCACTTAATTGCCCTGGCTCTGCCCCTTCACCCCTCTTCTGGACCCACCTTGACCTTTCATCTGTCCATGCCCCTCCAGCCTTCCGAGCTCTCAACTCCCCACCCCGAGGAGGCCAATGGAGACCCATCTGTCCTCAGGGTCCTCTGCTCCCCCAGGCCTCCGCCCTTCTCACCTGGTGGTGGGTGCAGGGACAAACGGGGCCAGGGACAGACTGGGCGGAAGGCTTCAGCGTTAGGTGGGGCTGAGGCCAGACCCTGGGGAGAGGGGGCTGGGGAGTGGGCGTGGGCAGCCCCTCCCTGGCCCGCCCCCCCTTGGCTGCAGCCTCAGAACTTTGTTTGGAGAAGCGGAGCCAGTTTGTGACCTGGGGCAGGGGGGAGCAATCCGCCCTGTCCTCCCTTGCTCCTCCCTGTCTCTCTCCCAGTCAGTCACTGGCAGGTCCAAGGGATCTTGGACCTAAGCTGGGGGAGGGGGCAGGGCCTGTCTCCTTCCCAGTTCCAGAAAGAGACACACACACACTGCTCAGTGAGGCTGTGTCATCCCACAGTCACTTGTAATCACACACCGTCACAAAGATGCATATAGAAACACACACCATAGACTCAGACCCGAGTTTAGTTTAACACAGCCTCCCACGACCACGGTAAGCCAGAGGGCTGTCAGTACACATTATCACAAAGACTTACAAAGTCACGCAAGACACTTAGCTCCACCCGTGCCCACACCCGTGCCCAACACTCAAATATAGGCAGATGGGCCCTAACCCAGCTGGCTGTCAGCTCTCGGGGACCCACATGGTACTCCAAACAGCCACTCAGGAGCACATGGGCGGGGACCTGGGACCCTGCATTCCCTCCTGATCCCCCCGCCCCCCGCCATGTAACAAAGACACATGCAAGGTCACACAACCGCTAAGCAGACACCCCACAATGCCTTCACAAACACACAATCACACACACACAGGAGGTAGCACACATTTATTCCCGGTCTCTCCTGCGCCAAGACAGACCCGTGTTCACATGCCAGATACAGGAACACCTGCCCTCAACATAGTGGGACATAGTCCTGGGTCAGAACAGGGTCCTAAACACACCCATACAACAGAGACCCCTCCCCAACAGTCCCACAGACCCTTCTATCTCGCTGGGGTCAGGCCCATAACCCCCTCCCCGCCACCCCACCCCCCACCCCCGCCGTGAAATTCATCTGCATTTGCACATCAATGCATAGGACACTCTCTCCCCAGTGCTCCCTCGCTGTATTGTGTAAGCATCCCCACCCATACACACACCCCAGGTCTCAGATACTCTCAGTATTGCCATGAACACACAAGCTTGGGGATGCAAAACCTTGTCCCCGAATGTCGCACAGACGCAGACAGATGTTCCGCCTTCACAGACGTCTACGAAGGGGGTACTCCCAGCCTGACACAAATAGCCCTTATCCCCAACATCAAACTCGTAGCCCAGCGTGGAAGGGTTCCTACCCCGAGGGGCACCCTTGAAGGCCCTCAAATTCACCATGTGCCCTAGGAGTGCGGATGGCCCGCTGCAGCCCCGCCCTGAAGCCTTGCCAGCCGGGACACTGTGTTCCCAGACTGGCAGATGTCTGCCCTGCCCCAGGTAATTAGGAACTGGCCCGGGCTGGTCACCCTCAGACCCAAATCTCTGCCATCCAGCTGCCGGACAGCCTGTAAAAGGGGGCGAGGGGGTGGTGTTGCCAGCTTCAGGGCCTGGGGAAGGTATGGGCTTCAAGTTGACGGTTGGTTCCTGACCAGAGGCCCCCACTTCCCAGGATGCACCCTCACCCACACTACAGCTAGCCCCCAACCTGTGCTCATCCCCCCACTCCCAGCTCACACGTGTCTCCACACACTTCTGACTGCTGGACCCCCGCTGGATCCGGGGCAGGTTGCCCAGGCTAGCTCACATGCTTAATACTTGTAACAGCAAAGAATAACAAACACTCCCTGGCGGCTACGTGCCTGGTGCTGTTGCAAAGACGTTACCTACTTCGTCTCATGGAGTCCTTACAAGCAGGACTATGAAATTGGTGCTTTTGGTATTTCTACATCCGGATAGGGAAACTGAGGCTCAGAGGACACATGCTCGTTCGTGGCATGGCTGATATTTGAACTCAGGCAGTTTGACTTGGAGCCCAGGGTCTCTGTCACAGGCTGCACCACCGTGTTTGTTTACAAAGGCCACCAGAACCTGTCCACGCCTGCCTGCACACACCCAGTGGAATAGTGTAGGGGGGACACGTCTAGGCTTGTGACTGGGTTTCCCTTACACAAACACCCTGGCTCACCCATGGTCTGGGTGTGCAGTCTAAACACCACTTCCTGACTCATGCATGTCCTCAAGCACCCCCTTTCTGTCCCCTCTAACCAGCTCTGGCTTGGAACTTGCAAATAAATGGTCAGCATCACAACCAGTCTTGGGTCTGTCAACTGGGGAGGACATCGGCTGTCCAGGCAGTGGCAGAGGGAGCATGAAAGGATGTAAGGGACCCCGCTAACTGCCTTCCAAGCTGTTGTGAGAACTCTCCCAGGGTCTGGTGAATTCTGCCGTGACCCTGAACGGCCACGCTTTATGTCTCCATTTTAGGGATAAGGAACTCAAACTGCAGGAAGCATGTTACCTATAACTCAGCGAGGCTGCTCTTGAGACACACAGGCCTTCAGGGGCTCACCTGGCCTGAGTCCTCTGCCATCCCGTTCCCTAATTAGCTCCCCTGTTGCAGCTCTGTGCAGCCTCGGTGGCAGAGGGAGCAGCAGTTGGGGGGTGGAGACTGTTAATCCTCAGTCTGGCAGGCCTAGCCTCTGCCCAGGGCGCCCACTAATTCCCAAACCAAACAGCAGGCAGTGCTGGGCCCGTGCTGGCCTAATCCGCTCCCCACCAGCCTGGGGCTGGCGAAGGGGCCTCCCCGTTCCCACGCTCTGAACCTCAAAGGAAGTAGGCAGATGCTCCTCTTCTATTACAGGTTTTAGAGCCCCAGCAGGGACACCGCTATCCATAGAGTTAGAAGAGGACACCCCCTTGCCGAAGATACCCTCCTTCCAAAATGGCCATCATAAACATACATCTCTATCAGATCTCTGTTGTGACTGGGTTCCTCTAGAGGTGCCATTTTTGTGCAGTGTACAACCTGTGCAACTGTACATAAAGCTGTCAACCCCCAACCCCTCTACATCAACATCCACAGTGATTTAAGATCATTTTATTGAGGGGCGAGAGGCAGGGAGAGGTGGGGGGCAGCTACAGCCCCCCCAGCCCCACCAGGGGGAACACACCTCCTCCCCGCCTCCCACCCCCCAAAAGACTCCCCCTATGCTATGGGGGACTTTGTGCAAATTCTGCCCCGGGGGCGGAGGTGGGTGGAGGGTGGGTGTGAAATGGCAGCGACTGGGGCTGGCGGCAGTGCTACTGGGCACTGGGGGGCTTGTAGGGCTCCAAGAGGAGGGCAGAGAAGGTGTTGACCTTGTCCGCCCCCCGCACCTCGTGGGGCAGCAGCGGCAGCTTCACAATGTGGAAGTCTTCATACAGATCCTCCATCTGTGGCCAAGGCATAGGGCAGATGGCAGCAGTCAGAGGGCCGTGGGGCAGGGACAGAATGTGGGTCAGGGGGAGGGGTCGGCCGCCCAGGATTGGGGGAGAATGTGGGGCAGGGGCTTCACAGGGTGATAGGTGGGAGTGAGACCAGTGAGGTCAGAGATCACTGGGCTGGACCTCCCCCTCCCTGGGGTCAGAGGTCCCCAGGTCAGGCCAGCTACAGTCCTGGAGAGCCAGAATTAGGGTGCAGAGCAGGAGGCTGGGGCAGAGGGTCAGAAGACGGGATGGAGCAAAAGGTCAGGGGACGCAGTAGAAGATGGGTGGTGCCTTGCTTGGGCTGGGCCAGGCCCCAACTTCCAGGGTCAAAGGTGTGAGGGCTGGGCAGGCAGTCGGGCATGCACACCTGGTCCAGGTACTTGGCCTGAATCTTATGGCGGGCCTCACACATCTTGCAGGGCTTCTCGGGGTCAGGGAAGACGAGCTGGTTGACGATGATGTTGTGGGTGTCAATCTTGCATTTGGCCAGCTCCTGAATCAGTCGCTCCGTCTCGTACAGGGACAGGAACTCGGCAATGCACACGCAGATGAAGGTTGTCTGCTCCTGCGGGGCGTGAGAGTGGACAGTGAGGGGCAGGTTCGGGCCCTGTCCCCATCCCAAGCCTCTCACCACCAGCCCGGACCGGGACTCACAGGGTCCTTGAACTGCTCGCTGACGGAGCGGATGACGGGCAGCGTCTCCTCCAGCTTGGAGGCCAGCTGGTCCGCGTTCATGTCCCCTAGGCCCAGCATGTTGCACATCTGTGGGGAAGACGTGGGAGGCTCACGGCTTACCTGGGGCACATTCCGGCACCTGAGCTGGAGACTCAGAAACCACCAGGGGGACAATTTCTGACACCTCTCAGCATTAAGGGGCCTTGAGCAGACCACGGGGGGGGTGGGGGGGTGTCAACCCAGCTCTGCTGTTTCTGGGGGACCGTGGCCAGGACAAGGAAGGTGAGGCCCAGAGAAGCGAACTGACTTGCTTGAGGTCACACAGCCGTGTCGCATCAGAGTGTAGAGCATTTGAGCCTGGGCCGCCGGGCTCTGGAATATGTGTTTTCAAACTCTGTCTGGAGCACTCAGTGGGTGGGGCAAGACGTGACTCCTATGGGGCAGGGGGACAGGCCGCCCACCCCACTGCGAAGGTCCATCCCTTCCGCTGGGAAATGCGGACCGAGAGGCCGTGGGTGGGAAAGGCCTCTGTTACTGCTCCTGTGCACGCTCTGACACAGGGGGTGCCCGGACGCCCCGGGGCCCTGCCTGCCTGTGAGATGAAGGGGCTGATCTGGTTCTTGATCTGCATGAGGCGGCCCAGGCCCCGCTCCACGATGGTGGGGAAGTTGAGCAGCCTAAGCGTGTGGCCTGTGGGAGCCGTGTCGAACACCACCACCGAGAAGTTCATGCCCTTCACCAGCCTGCGGGGAGATGAGGGTCAGGCCTGTTTGCCCTCTTCTACCCCAGCCCCCCCGCCCCCTGCCCCGCCCCTGCTGGCAGGGCCTGACCTCATGACCTCTGCGTAGCTCATGGCCTCGTCAATGCCGGGGAAGGCGCTCATGGCCTCCTGCATCATCT